ACCTGGAACCGTGGTCCAGTGGATAAATCGTTGTCGTTCAAGATACTGAGTCAAGCTCGTCTGAGGAGGGTTTGCACTTGGATGGGTGACCCAAACATTATACCTACTCACGATTTTGCTCCTTTTTCCGTTTTTCTTTTTTGATTTTTAAAATGATAGTTTATAGAATAGTGAAACTTTTCTATTTTTGGGTAACCTATTCTTGTCTACCCAAATCCGTCAAATTGAAATCTAGCATTAAAAAATCATAAAATGCCGGTCATTTAGTATTTTCATATAGGAGTTATAGGCAGTTCCATTAATTTTAAAAAATCCAGCTCAATCAATAAGAAAACACAAACCATACTTAAAACTTGAACAAACCTTTTATGCTTTCTATAATCGTTTATAGCGCTAGCATTAGTCTATTTTAATTTAAAAATCTCAAGTAAACATCTGGCAAGGTACAAGGCGATCTACCACGGGGAATGGAAGGTCGCCAACTTGATTAATTAAACTTGGAATTTGTTCACTCACAGGAAGAATTTGAGCCTTATTTTCCTAGTTTCCTAGAGAAGCTAAACAAAAAATTTGAGTAGACAAATAAGAGAAAGATCTTTTCACAGCATCTTGAACTTTCTTGGTCAGTTTTGCCACAGGCAACCCAGTAATAAATAAAGTAAGGTTTTATTCTTTTGAAATTATTTAAAACCAATTTGTTTGTTTGTCCTTCCAAGTGGTACAGTCTGTAAAAGAGTACCGTCTAGAGGGAACGGTGGTATATTTCGACAAAAATACTAAAATTACAAAAGGGTAGGTTGTAAACTCCTTTCAACTCTGAGACCATTGAGACTTATTTGCTTGTTGGATCTGTGATTCGATGGTTCTCCGGTTTGCCTCCCTCCGTAAGACCTGCAAACATGTGCTCTGCGGTACTTAACGATGCGCTGGTTCTCCTGAGGTAACCACGTTAAACCTTCTTATTTACCTCCTGTGAAGGAAACTGGCCAGACCCAAAGGACTCGCAAGCCAACGCCTGCATACGTACAAAGACAAGTCAGCAAGAAAGGAAAACAAAGTATGTGATATATAAATGTTGTTTCCCACCCCTCCGCCCCCCCTGAATTTAGAGTCGTGATTTCTTCACTCTGTACATAGTTTTAACTAAAATATTAACTATGCTCTTTACTGCAAAATTTCCTAAGATCCACGATCGATCGTATGACTGTGAAAAGCTCAGTGCCGTATGTGTGCCTTGCCGTGACCATGATGTTTTCTAGTATTTTAACTGGCTGACTTTTTTATCGCGCAATGTGATTGGTCTGAAAGTGCCGTGACCCTGGCTTGACCCTGTCCGTGCCGTGCTTATGCCGTGTTCCGGGTATTTGATTGGATGGAGAGTAAACTCTCGAGCAATATGATTTGTCTGGCGTATCCGTTGCCGTATCACGACCGTGTTCGTGCCTTTCACAGTCATACGGAAACTGCTCTGTAGAGTTTTTCAGTTGAGACGTATTTCCGGGTCCAACTGCTCATAAAATCTGTGAAAATCAAACGCAAAAAGTTATCAATGATTAACCCTCCACTTTAAACGATTAGAACCGTTGGACAACAAATCCTGTCATGAAAAAAAGTGAGAAACATCTTTGTAGAATTCGACCTGCTAGCTCTTTGCTTTGGACCCGGAAGTCTCGTCATACGATTGACATCACAATTACAGTGAGAAGACTTGAACCGTAAACACTTCGAGTTTCTTTTTCAGGTTATCAAACTTTCTACTCTTTCAAACCCTCTAAAATGATGCATTGAGTTCATATACACCGCGAGGGATCAAAATAAGTTTTCCCCCCCAATCGATTGCCTCAAGGGGTGATTTACAGTATGCGTTTTAAAAAAGTGGCAAAAAACTCGAAATGTTCACGGCTCGACCAAGTGTCCTCACTATACAAATTCTAATATCTTTTACATGTTTTTCCTCTCTGTATTTATTTCTTGTTCTTTTTCTTTTGCTTTCAAGAAAGTGTTTCTTTTGATGAGGAATTACTCGAAGAAGAAGAAGACGAAGCTAAGCAAAAACTTACCGGGGATTTCATTGATATTGCTAAGGTAATAAAATAGTAATAATACTTTAGCATTTTTACACGTGATCATAATAAATCCTGCGCGCTCATTGGTCACAATTTACCAATCTCGTACCCAGAGCCTGCGTTTCTTCTTGCCTGAGGCGACTGACAAGGATTTCTTAGACTTCCGGTATAAGAGCGCATGCGTTAAAAGACTTGCCAAAAATAAAAATAAAAATACGTTCCTGATTTCTAATTCTTTATTTTTTATCGGAAGTCAACACATAACTTTGTTTGAAAGCATAATTTTTATTGATTATATTTAACTTCCCGAAAACTGTGCATGCGCCAAAAAACGTTCTTCGCCGGAGGCCCTGGCTACGAGATTGACACTTTACGTGAATATAGTAACACGCGCAGGCGCACACTCGTTTGTCGATTCATGCCACTTGCAGAGATAAATAAAATGAAAAAAACCTCGCGTCTCTATAAATATTCCCCGATATTCACTGAGACCGAGACGAATAATCGTTAAATTATTTATAGCGGCCATAAAAATTGTCCAAAAGCGCTTTACAAAGATTACAATAATAAATAACGATATATAAATCAATAATGAGATGAATTAAAAATCTAAGAATAATTATTTATCTAGAAAAACCTAGAACTATATAATGAAATGAAATAAAAATAGGCCTCAATAGGATTGAAGGAGTACTTCTTATCTCTATTGGAAACGCATTCTATAATCGAGGCGCGCACACCGAAAATACATCTACAATTAATTGTAAATGTTTTTGTTATCATCCTTATGATAAACGTAACAAAATTACTCGAAATTCTGATTGCAATGCACAAGAGGAGTACAATTATTTCAATCCCAAATTGGAGTACAATTATTTCAATCCAAAATTCTAAAAACATAGGATTTCAGAATTCCACGTCAAATCCATACCGCGATTTCACGTTAATTGTTGATTTTTATCTTCACCTGTTTTTATTGTTTTTCAGCATCCAATACTTCGAAAAGATACACCTGCTGTATTAACGAACCCAAAATCCAAAACTAAAGGTAACAGATAGCGATGAAAGAGATAATAATAGTTATATACTTAGGAAAAATAGGGAAATAAAGACGACTGATGCCTTTTGTTGATAGTACTTTAATTTTAAAGTGCACCTAACCACTGATACAATACTTTCAGTATTGATTGTACATATGAATAGTGAATAGTTGAATGGTGAAATATTTCTTTATATTTCCATTACGTTTTACGAGTGTATTTGTTTTAATTTTTAATACTAAACACTAGCCATTATGAAACATCAGACTTACAATAAACATTGTAGAAACCTCGAGTATAATAATGATTTTTTTTAAAAAACTGTTTGTGTGAACCAGTCAAAGTTTGTATATTTAATGAAGCCTGGGGTGACGTCACAGTCATTAACGTATTGGGAGTATAAATCTTTATAACTTAAAGACGCAACATTCAAATGGAGAAATATTTCACCATTCAACTATTCACTTTATGTAGAATCAATACTGAAAGTATTGTATCAGGGGTTAGGTGCACTTTAAATACCGTAGTCGTATAAAAAACACTCTTTTTCACTCTTTTTAATTTACTTGATAATAATGACAAAAGATGTCATCGAAATTTCGTATCTTTTTGTCACTACTTTTTCTTATAAAATGGTGAAAGAAAAAAAAAGTGGAATAAAGTCTTTTTATTGCAGCACGAACACTGAGCAACCAAGGCAGCATTACCGAAGAAGAGGAAAACGAGGACGACTTTGACGAGACTCTGATGGTAAATATTATACTGTAGTATCATGATCATTATTATAAGCCTTTTCTAAGCTAAAACATGTTCGTCGAACATAAACAGAACTGACTTGACTTTGCGCGAGAAACAGCTAGCCACAGGTAGCCCAAGATGGGAATATGACCTTTTTTTCCAAATTGTTAACTGAATTTTATGTATAGACTAGACTGTGAACACATCATTTTACAACCACTATCAAAATGTTATGTTATTCGAGATCTTATTGTCTTCTGAGACTATAGCATAAAATAAGCCAGCTTGGGCTACCTGTGGCTAAGCAGCAAGTCTCGTCGGTTTTCTAACCTAATTAAAACTTTAAACAAGAAAATTTTCCTATAATAAAATAATATAAAATAATTTTAATGGAAATCTCTTGAATAAATCAAGATTTATAGTTAAAACTACAATTCATAAACAACATTTTTATGAAACTTAAAATCTGCATAATTTAGATTACTAGCTAAAAAATAAAAAATGAGTTAATGATTTAAAGATAAAATAAAATGTCTATGTGTATAAATATTAAGTGTAATGAAATACAATTGATGTTGAATAATTTGAAACCATTGAGAAAGCAGCCCGTTGGCTCTATTGACAAAGTCGTAAATATGATTTCAAACACAACTGTCATTCGGATGAAATGATAGTGATGATGTTGAGTAATGATAATGCCATGATGATGATGATGATGAAAGAGTGATGATGAAAGAGTGATGATGAAAGTGTGATGATGAAGATGATGATGAAAGTGTGATGATGAAGATATTAATGAAAGTGTGGAAAAACGACGAATGTTAATAAATTAAATAGTCACTATAAGAAAGACGATTTTAGGCCACGCCCAAACGAATGCGTTTTTGAAACGCTCCATCCGTTTTCACCTCATCAAAAACGCAACGAAAGCGTCGTTTCCACAATACCGTTTTTATAGCGTGCATACTAAAACGCAGATACGATCGAAAATGATGAACATATTCTACGCATGCGAAAAACAGACGTTCCGGTCTGAATGACGTCAGCGTTTTCCAAAGTATTCGTTTTCGCTGCCCACTAATAAGAAAGGCCTCCGTTTTCAAAGCATGCATGGATGCACAGCCAAAATGCATCGAAAAGTATTAGGTTTTCAAACGAAAGTGTATTAGTGTGGACGGGGACTTAAACATTTTTCTTGTATTTCAAAGCAGTAAGTCAGCTCTTTTCATCTTCGGCGTAATGTCTTTTTATTTCAGACCACGTGTTAATTCCTTGAGAGCAATTTCTTTCTTTTATCGATAACCCTTGAGAAGCCAAAACGAAAGGCACGTGATCTTAAAAGAACAAAACAAAATAAACAAATAATTATAAAAACAACAACAACATCAACAAAAATAAATAAATAAAAACAAAGCAAAAGCAAAAAAGCATTACGCCAAAGTGGATTGGGACTTTTTCTGGCTTATTCCCAAATAATATGCTAATGATTTATCATAAATAAGTATTGCTAAACTTAACGAAATACTTTGAACCTGTTAAAGAGTTACCGTCTGCGTAAACAATCAATACTGCAGTGCAGCCATCCTTCGATAGGTAAATATTAAATTTATATTAAATTATACATCTTTCTAAAATCTTACTTAAAATGTATTCCCCCCAGCTAGTTTTCAGAGGTATATAAATTTTTTTGCTACTTTAAAAAAAAAATTAAATTTTCAGAAACGACGTTAGTTGGTGACATCAATGAACAGGTGAAACGTACGARGGGGGATGGGGGTGGGGGGAGGGGGGAGAGGGGAGGGATTTTACATCCCCTTTCTTCTTAACTGCTTCCTCAGCTTCCACCCCGGCCCATATGATAGTAACATGCGAACATGGGACCTGATATTCTTTCAGGCCAGGCTTCAATAGAATTCTTTCTTGTTGACAGCACGTGGTGGTCAGTGTTCGACCACCAATTGGAGCAGATAATGAGATTCAAAGATTTTTGATTCAGCTGTTTGAAACCAAGCAAATGACTTTATTTATTTTTTCTCTTTGCAGAAGAAGTCAGCCTGAAAGACAATGACTGAACCAAAAGTGCAAAGCAAGTTTAACTCATAATAATCAATATACAGCTATGTCAAAAAAAAAGTTTTTGCAAGTTGCTTGTTGTTTACCAAGCTTAAAATGTATTATATTCATATGTAAATAATGAGAGCACAAAATGAAAATATACCGAAAACCGAAAATTATCATGCAAAATCACCCATAATGCATTTCGGGTTTGGTATGCAACAAAATCTGCAACAACCAGCGTCAATGTAAAACATTTCAGTCCATGATGGTTCACTCCACTTTATTAACCGCTATAACTCCACTGAAACTAAGCACTCTTGACAAATGTTCATATGGCTCCTCCTTTCTCCTCCCCAACCTCTCACGGACCTCTATCCACAGGGTGAAAAAGCTCACGTAGCTCACCTAATCTGGTAAAGCGAACGCTTTACTAAGCTCAGAATCATTGCCGGCATTCAGAGGCAGCGAGACGAAACATGTGTTTTTGATCCCAGAGAATTATTGCCAAAGAATCATAAGAATAAACACATTTTATCATATATAGTATGATGTCTTTATATGCCTACTTTTTCTTATAAATGAGAACCTTAATTGTTTAGTTTGGGTGCAATAATTTCACATTTCAAACCACATGTCATTTCTCAGAGTATCATTTTGTTGTTGTGTTTAACGGTCGCGCACGAGAAGACACATAAATGAGGATTTCCAGTCAAACAAAGAATCTTATCACTATCAAGAGAATAACATGTGGTCTGAAATGGGAAAACATTACGCCCCGAAGGTAAAAGGATCTATCAAAGGCTTTCAAACTGGGCTAAAAGCTCAGTGAAAGGTTAAACAAGGTGAAAATTTTTGAAATCGTTTAGAAAGTTGTTTGTTAGTCAAAACAGTATATTTTTTAAACCACTAAGAATGACGTTAAATACCACTAACGACAACACCAGCAGGACTAAGGTATGATCAAATTTATTTAAACAAAAAAACACATATTTTTTCGTCCCATTACATTTACTTTAAATCCCTTCGTACACACCACAAATGTATTGCTTGGGCTGCCTGTGTTCTCAGCTCACAAAGATATTAACAAGAAAACAATTGCATTTTTTAATCATTATTGTATATAACTATTTCAAAAAAGGTTAAATACTGAATACTGCATACTGAATAGTGCATTCCAAGACCAAATGATTTGAAATCAAAAGTAAATATACAGCAATTAACTCTCTACATGTAGTTAGTATATTGTTTMRGATGGAGTACATTAAAATAGAATAAATTATTATTATTAGTCCTACTTTAGACAATGTCACTATGACCCACAATGCACTTCGGCCTTGGAATGCAGTATTCAGTATTCAACCTTTTTTATAAGTACATGTTCGGTATTGGTGAATTCTAGTGATGTACCACTTGCGTGTGTACCTATACTGGACTAGTACTATTATTATTATACACGATAAAAGAGTTGGACCCTTCAGAAAATTTAAGAAATACAAAATACGGCTATGTTAAAAAACAGGGACTAATAGTCTAACTTGATCCATCACTTTTCTTCCTCGGCCGGGACGAACCCGCCATTTCGACGACAGGGTTTCTGGCAGCGTCGGAAACTGTATCGCCAGTCACAGACGCTTTGACATTCTTTGTCACCATGACAAGCTGTTTTGCAGGTGTTTATAAGAAAACGGCAAGCCCAGTAACATTGGTCAGTTGATCGCTTCGTGATTCCTGTGCCTCGTGCGTCAGCGGGAGACTGGGTAGAACCCACAAGGACCATGACGAAAACTATCCATGGAAGCGAATTCATCTGTCAATGAAAAATAAAGATTGGCGAAACGAGAAGACGTTTAGCACTTATCGCCCTTATCACTACAACCCTGAATATCAATAGCTTTCTTCTCTAAGCTAAGAGTAAGCCAAGATCAAAAGAAGCGTACATTTGCAAAAACCGGCCGGCAAGGACGAAGTGAGACAACATCGTAGACAACGATAACGGAAACGTCAACTCTGCAATGCATCTTGGGTCTTATAATTTTTATCAATTCAGCTTCCATGGCAACATACGTAAATCATCAGATTTATTTTCCCTGATATATATCGGAAGAGTTTAATTTGAGATCTTTTATTTAGCTATTTTATTTCGGCAATCTGCCGCAACAACAGAGAGTTTTAGATCGACTTATTTCCTCCCCGCAAACGGCAAACGTGACCACGTTTTCATCGTTTTCTTGTACTTTATTTTACCTTTTACAAACCTTCTCACCAAAGACAAATATTCTTTTGTTTTTCTACTACTTGGACTTTTTTGCGATTCTTTTCAAGCTTTTTAAAATAATTTTTAAATGGTCAACTGACGTTTCACGTTTGCCGTGAACATAAATCTAAAACTCTCTAATATCAATTTTTTCCCGGACTTAAGCAAAAAAGTTCTCTATTGGGGGGTAATATTGTTTGAGTGCATGACTTGGGTGCCTTCTGTATGTGATTTAAACTTTTTAGTATTCATTACATTAGCGGAAAACTCTGTGTAAGTGTTCTTCTGATGTACTTTATATGAAAAAGTCCTTCAAAACTTTATCGATCGATACCCTGCTGAAAAAACTTTTGGATAGTCGGAAATAAATTACTCTTCAGTATGAAGAAACATTTTACCAACCTCTAGGCAGACCAAAGTCAGCTTATTGCTTATTGGATTTTGCGAAGGGAGGAAAAAACGGAGAACCCAGGAAAATAACTTTCGAATCAAGGGAATTGTAACAACTAAATTCAGCTGACATGGCCCAGAATTGAGATCCAAAAGGTGAGTGTACTATACTATACTGTATATATTACAGCAGGAACTTGTGGATAAATTGAAACACCGTAAAAAGCTTTGTGAAACTGACGTTTCGGACGTTAGACGAAGGACTATCCACAAGTTTCTGCTGTTTGAATCAGAAACACCGACGCAGTCCACGCTAGTACTCTACTAGTTATTACCACTTGTATGTATTGCACTCGATTCTCAATTATGAGATGCCCTTTTTACGCTAAATTTTTGTTATTCCGCTCAATAGTTAGTACTAATAAAATTTTTATCCGAATGATTTGGAAATATAAATATATCTACTTAAGTTTGTAGCCATATTAGAGTACTTACGATGAACCGAGAACTGATGAAGGCTTAACAAGTCTTCAGTGTGCGTGACAAAGGTTCCGTTGCTATTGCTGTGAAGGACTTATATTGAAGAACTCTTGTCTTATTACTCTCCTTTTGCGATAGAAACTAAAGGACCAGTCACTTTTATAGACAGATTTTCTATTGTTAGAGCTCAGTTAACGTATCATTTCGCACAGGTGTAATAAAATACATAAAAAGAACAGGCAATGACACAAAGGAGTTTGTTTTTAGAAAGTCTTCCGGATATTCTTGTCCAAGATAATTGATTTTTCTTTGTTCGCAGTTATTAAAAACTCGAGCACAAAGCGTTGGAATAATTCATCTCGGCTAGTCCGCCCTTTCAGGCTTTAATTACCGTTTTTACCCCCGTGTTCCCCTCTTTGTGTTACGAAATTGCCGACTTATAGCTAGAGGGTGACAACTTCTTCAACTCAATCGTAAATTTAGAGAGTGACTTTTCCAGACCTTCAGTGCTCAAGAAGGCCATTAAGAGATGTAAACACTTGGGCTAGGAGTATTTATTTGCTGTATTTTTATGTTGATGTAAGATGTCTTTGACAGGAAATAATAAAATCATATTAATGGATGGGTACTGCAATTATTTTTATCCAGACTTTTTATTAAACTCGTAAATAAGAATTCTTTGTGACAAACCTTTTTTTTTTTTTACAAATTCAGGACATTAAGTTTTCTTACAAAGGTTTAATGGTAAATATCATAAACAAACTGAGAAAAATTGTATATCAAAAATTTATAACACAAGTACTAGTAGTAGTATAGTACAAGTTTGCAAGTACGGGGCTCTTCCGTGAGGTTCCCTCCACACGCACTCCCACTACATTCTATATTTACAACATACAACACTCAACTCACATGTTGATTTTTACGGAGGGAGGGAACCGCGGAGATCCGGAGAAAACTCTCGTGGCAAGGGAGAGATCAACGAATCAAACAAAATTGTTACTTATTTTATATATATATTTTAAAACGACCACTCCTCTTAGTGAAAATTATTAAGACAACTGAGGATTATTAGGATACAGGTCTCTTTAAGTTTCATTACATGCAGTACAATGTAGAACTGCAATTATTTCTTGAGGAAAATCCTCTAGCGACGCTAGAAGTATATAAAGCAAAAAAAAAAAGAAAAGAAACAAGAAGTCCAACCATAGATGATAAAAGGACTGGTTCCTTTACTATGAATAGTTTTGAAGACTTCTCAAATCACAACAAAGTAATTCAATAAAAAAACTGTGTGTGAAAATTATTATTTTCTGATTCACCACACAATGCTAATCCAAATCTGAAGATTAGATAAGCTAAAAGGCTATTTTACGTGCGCTACTTAGCTGAGATCGAATCTAGACTGTGCACAAACACAAGATCGCGGTCCTAATTATTAGTTATAGTCGGCAGTCAGAATGGATTTTATTAGACCACGCTATTTTTAATGAGTCTCATTTGGAAATATTTAATAAAATAGGCTTATTAAAAGTCGTTAAGAATAGGTAAAAGGAGTTTGATAGCAGCTGTCGACAAATTGGCGCAAAGCGACAGGAAAAAAAGGCGGGAAATGGCTCTCTTTCGGTGGCTAACCGTTCAAGACATACGAGCCTAACAGAAATAATATGATCTACGGAAGGAAAATATAAAATGTAACGATTATCTCTATATTTTTCGAAAGAAAAACGCTTTTAACCTGTTGTTAAATGTATGAAAAGAACTCGAAAAGAGTTTTTCTCAAACCTTTCGATACTGAACTGCAAAATGAAATTTTTTATCATTTTCTCTAACATGCAAACAGCGCGCCACCATTTGTCATCTTACATGGGTATTCCATTCTATGATACAATTAATTATTGCCCGAATGGTGATAATTTGCAATTTTTATTCCATTAATGAATTAAAAACTAATCAAGGATTATCATACAACGTTTTAATTGTCATTTTAAAAGTAAACACTTTTATGTCCAGTAGACGAACAAAAGAAAAGCTGGACAAAGCTATAGAATTAAAAAAAGACCTCAGTTAGATTAAAACGAGAGTTGATTTCCGCAGTTCTTTCTATTTCTTTCCTTTTTTCTCTCAGTTTGTTTTGTGGGTTCTTTAGGGTCTCATAATCCCAGGAAACGATGGCTGGGAGGTCGAATGATCATGAAAACACAGTCTTCCTGTATATCACATCTATTTCTAAAAAGGTTGGTGCAACCTTTAGATCTAGAGTTTTCAAATACATGGACGAAAGTTAACGTACTCAACATCATACTACTACAATCCACTCATGATAAAGAATGGTCGGGGAGAACATTATGGTGCTCGGGTACACAAAAGAAAAGTAGAGAAGTTGGCGGGTAAAATGCGGGATTATGAAGGGATTATGTCAGGTTAGGACTGCATAATCCCTACATCGTCTCGCGGTAAAACGTGACCTTTTTTTGCCGTGGAAGATTTCGTTCGCATGATGTTGTATTTTGCATATTGCTTACTAAGCTTGATATGTATTATATTCATACGTAAATCGTGCCACTGAGCACAAAAGAAAATCATATCGGAATAACCGACGCGTAGAGAAAGTTTAGGCGGAAAAGTCCATATCGTTGTTACCTTTCGCTGATGATATTCACGTCACCCATAGTGCATTACGGGCTTGGTATGAAACGTCCGATGGCGAGCTTGAGTTAAAACTAGTTAAGGCTAGTACAATTGCATTTGACTCATCAAAGCGATAAGTGTAGTTTCCTGGCATTCTTATTTCCTGGTTCGTATGCATTAGATTGGAATATTTCGTCATTTTAAGGTGGCTGCCTACTTTTGAACGTTCGATTTGAGCCCACGATGTGCGCGCTCAAAAACCGCTTAAAAATTTTTTAAGAGCACCGAAACTACAAAATGTGACAAATCAATGTATCTCTCTGTCTTTTTGTCGAAAATATCCATGTATTATTGTAGAAGGATTGACTAGCCTTCGTTCGTGCAATCATATAATCTGCAAATAACTATTATCTTGTTAATCTTAATTTTTTTCTAATCACTTCCGGTGGCGCAATTTTTACTCCAAAAGCTCGTGCGTAGACTTCCATTAAATGCTGATTATCTCGAAAACGAGCTCGGGACACCCTTTTTTTCTTTCCAGATTTGGAATCAGCATTAAATTTCAATTCGGAAAATCGAAGTTTTAAAAAAAGCTTAAATCTATTTTCAAAAGTAGGCAGTCACCTTAAATTAGATACTTAAATTTTAAAAATCGGTCATTAGTGGTAATTTCTTAATTCGGTGATTCTGGGATCAATTAATGATCGCTATGACAGAGGAAGAGGAAAATGATGAGAAGAAGAATCAAGTAATTATTAAAAAAGACGGAGGGAAAATACGAGCAACACTTTCCGGTAAAAAGCATATCGCAGAAAATGAGGCTAAAAACGTGGACTTTTCTTTTGAAAGGGGAACGTGGGATGAACACCATAGCACGGCTTTACAATAATCTTTTCCAAACTACTAAATGAAAAAATAAATAAATAAATAGACCAAGAAAAAAAAAAGAAAAAAAATTGAGAGAAAAAAAGAAAAGATTTAAAAAATACATTAAGACGCTAGTGGTATCGCTACACATGTTGTGAAATGGCAGGAACGAGAAAAGATGATGCCATAGAAATACTGATAATACTTTTGTTTCATTGCTTTATCTTAACCACCCACTAGAATGGGTTAGGCTAGCCGACTAGCCCACGCATACATTCAAGTCATCACTCCACCTCTTACCGTAGTAAAATAATAGCCCTGTCATGATCAGATTCGACTAATTCGACTAATACTTCGCATATATCAGAGTTAATCTATTAACTCTGCATATATGAAGCGTCATTAAGTAATTTGATAACGTTTTATACCTTTCTTTGCCCCCCTTTTTGCCCAGTTGTTATTAGCCATTCCGAGTTTAAGGAAAAGACTGGGTCGAGTTGGCAAATAATCGCCATCTTGGAGAATGTTTTCTAAACAGTCTGATCGACAGCTCTGGGAGCACGCCAATACTCGGATTCCCTGTTTATAACTCCATACAGAATAAAAAGCAGACATGCACGAACCGGTGCTGTTTTTGTTGCTCCACGAGATTTGAGAAAGAAAGAAAGAAAAACGCCGAACGCATGAACGAAGAAAAAGACTGTTTGACATCTATGTTTAGCCAATTGGATATATCTATACCCCAATCGTTAAAATTGTTATTCCGTGTGGGATTTAGATTCATATAGTCATTTGAACATACTCATGTGCGATGGGCCTTGCTGTCACGCGGTAGCCATGTTTATAGTCTCCCTCGCAGCCGTTTTAAGTCTCGCTACATTCCCCTACCGTCCACTTCTCTCTCAATGCAGAGATTACCATGTTTATTCTCATGGAAAAATAAAAACCTTAGGCTTGGGCTTCCTGTGGGCCCAGGGAGCCCGCATTGACATAAAAATCAAATTTTTATCCGGTTTTACGAGTAAAGCGCAGCTACCTCCCTACATTAAATATAATCCTAACTATCATTTTGAAGGTTCTTAATTTGATTGATGAGAGAATATGCATCGTAAACAAGTCAAACAAGATCGCGTGCAAAAGCTATTCTCGACTTAGTCTCCCTCATATAGACTTTGCATGTAACAAGTAACGCCTTGTGATGAATGAAGGGTAGGAGCGGTCAGATCCTTGGTTGGCTAGGATTCGCTAAACTCTTATTGGAATGTCGAGATCAAAAGAAGAAATCGCCATGTTTGCCGTGGCTGCTGTTGGTGTTTCTGCTGTAGCAGGATATGGCGTTTATAGGTATATCTGCAGTCGCAACGAGCGGCTTAGGGTCAAGAAAGCAACGGATGAAATGGTAAGTATAGTGAGGTCTGATAATACCCCCTAATACCCCCTCGCCCTCTTTCAAACTATTCTATTCCCCGCTAACACAAATAATAATACGTAGCTTCGTCACATTTATTTGATTATGATCTCTGTTCTGTCAGGAAGCGTTTGCCTCTCTTGTTGAAGGCTGTAAGATAAAATATATTTTCAATACATTGTCTTCTTGGTAAATATCGATCCATTAGGAATTTCTGTGGGTAAACTTTACTCAAAGAACACTTTTTCGAGACTCGTAGATGGCTGAGTGTGCATTTGATCAATATCACACACACACACACATCAGGCGATGTTAATTATCATAATGCGACTACAATGGTTTTTATATAATATTTACCTTATTCAGATTCAAATACATGACTGAAATTAGAAAAGGTGGACCTTGAGGTTAGCCCTATATATACAGGTCCCCTGATATTAAAACTACATGAGTAAGACGAACTGTATAAATGAGATGAATAATGTAAAATATAGATACATTGATACAAACTGATGTACGTGACTTAAAAATTTCAATAAATGTTCATGTTCATGTTCTTATGCGGTCTCAGAATTTTTCCGAGTCTTATAATTAGCAACTGCTCAAGTTTCTTGATATACTGTGCAGAACAGCTCAATTAGATACATTATTACCACAGTACAAATATATAGTCTATGTATATTCTCATATACATATATTTCCTATCGGGCCGATAAACCCACATAATGTGTCCTTATAAGTCTCATATGAGACTTGGTAGCTCAGTGGTTAGAGCATGGTTAGAGCATGGCACCGGAGTCTCCAAGGCACAGGTCCAAATCCCGTTCAAGACTCAGAATTTTTACATTATTACCAAAGTACAAATATATAGTATATTTATTCTCATATGGAGCATTACTATTAGTACTGTAACATTGCCTTGAGCTTAGTTTGAAATTTAGTGATTATAAACAAACTTGTTTTCTCAGATCAGAGAGAATGAATTGACAGTAGCCTTTGTGTTTATATTATTTTGTTCTAGGTAAAGGCCCTTGACAAGACAAATGTTTACTTGCGTGACTCAATTGGTGTGAGAGAAAAACTGCAAAGAATGTATGAAGCAGGGACTGAAAAGTTACAGGTATTCATGCATACCATTTGCACTTCTAATTTGTTTTTTATGTTTGCTTCAGTTGATTAAAGTTTTGCATGAGTACGAATAGCTACAATCTACAATATCTGCCTTCTGCCTCCATAGCAATGTTGTCTGGCATGCATTTTACCATGTAGTTAACCACTTCATAGGCTAGAGAACTTCATAAACCATCATTGCTAGGGAGGAAAGTGGCAGATTATTTTTGCAATTAATTAATAATATTATAAAATGTTTTAGATTGTTTCAGATTTTGATAAAACACTCACAAAATTCAAAGTAAATGGACTACAAGGCTGTACAGTTCATGGTAAATATTCAATTATTCAATTACCTAAATAAGCATGTTTTCACGGGACTAAATTGTTTTCACCATAATCATAAATCTTTGTGGCGACAGACTTAATTCATTTGATTTGAACAAAATGTGTTAACATCAATTCATTCATAATTTATATTGTCAGTACCAATGAAATTGGGCTGCATTTGGTGTGATGAATGAATTGAACATTATTCTGTAATCTGCGTGCATTATTTTATAGTGTTTAACTTTACATTAGAGAAAAAATATTGTAATTCATTGTCTAGCTGTGCATCCAGCGTGGTTGGTCTTTTATTATTGTGTAGGGGTTAACGCTGTCTTATACATGTATATAGTCCTGACTAGAATACTGCATGATTTAAGTGGTGCCAGTTTGAGTCCCGTCAAGGGCATATACTATATTTCTTCCCTAATGTTTATTTTATCTTTTATATTGACTTTAACAGGTGTGCTGGAGACATCAAAACATTTCCCTGAGTCATACAGAGAAAAGGTACGTTTTACAATTTCTCATATGATACAAACAAATTCCAATATTCCATGAGTCAAACAAAGCAGAGTATGTGCCACAAGTAAGCAGTGTGTAGCCATTTTATTGCATACCATCTGCATTGTAAATACCTAAGCATTTAGTCAAGGAATGTAAAACACCACATTACAAGAAGAAATGGTACAATTGCTTTCCTGTTTCTTGATTGGTTGTATTCGAAGGTGTGGGATAAATACTGGATTATCTAATGATTTATGTTAAAATGCATTTTAAAATAATTGTATTAATTTTTATAAAAAAGATGAAGTCCCTATATTTAACATTGGTAGTTCCTTCAGTTGAAATTCAACTGCTATCAATGGAAGCCCACAGTGCCTGCACTCTGCCTACTCTGTCCATTGTTTTAAGAGTTTCAAAGCTGAAGCTACACTGATTAGAGAAAATTTGAAACAGATGTGGAGATCCTGAGGATTGAACCTTGGACCTCCAGCTCCAAAGGCTGTGCACTTACCAACTGAGCTACATCAATCTGCTCCTAACAATATTATAAATGGTATGAAATTTCAAAGGTTATGCATCAGGCCCTATGATGTGGAGTGAACTCCTTCATGAAGGCAGATAGCTACAAGTAGGACAGCTTGGGTTTGGGGATTATAGTATTTGGCCATGTATGAAACACAGCCACTTTTATTTTATCGAAGCCAACTATCTTAATATTTCATCAACATACCATATAATTTTAATTCATATTTTAACCCTTTATTTAGGCTTTGGAACTCAAAGATAAATACCACCCCATCGAACTAAGGTATTTTTTATTACCTGCTTTGAAATTTTATTATAAAATAATTGAGATACTAAGCGAGCTATGACTGGTCAAAAACCATGTTTGATGAGAGTATCAAAACATGCTATATTCATTTTCTGCTACACGTTGTGGTTTCCTATGCTCCTCTTGTGTTCTCTCAACATCCCGCGTGTTTTGATCAGAGTATCAAACACGGAAAGTTGTTTTTGATCTGTTAAGCCTAAAACAGGTTCTTATGTCAAGGGGGTGTAAATGGAAAATCTTAGTTTAACAGGTTTCTTAAAATCTAGGTTCTTGAACATGAGTTTATACTGTATATATATATACAACAAATAGCTAGAATTTATTAATAATTTTTCTGTCCTGTTGAATGATGTTGATCAATCATATGATACTTTTTAGTGACATGTCATCTGAAGAAAAAGGCCCACTTATGGAAGAATGGTAAGTTAATGGAACTCAGATAGTTTATAACTAGAATGTGTAACTTTGAATCAAGCTGTCATAAATTTCTGATTTGACCTAATTCTCTACTCACATTTAATGTTCCCTGAAATGTTTTTTGGTAATATTCCATGCACAAAAATTTTACTAACCAATTCAAATATTATTTCAAATGCACTAGAAAAGTCAATGGTTTTTAATTTGTTTGTGTAACAGGTGGAGCAAAGCACATGATTTAATCAAGGAACTCAACCTTCGCAAGGAAAATCTGCCAGTTATCGTCAAAGAGGCAAATATTGCCTTAAGGTAATTAAACCATTATTCCTGGTCATGTAATTGATCTAATGGCTCATGTGTAGGGGATTGTCCTCCTGGTTCAACAGCCTTAATCCCAATCTGGAGGCATAATACTAATTTACTAACAAACCACTCATGATTATAAGCTGCACGGCTGCTAATAGCGCCTTAATATGCAGCTCGTAAAGTCCTCCACTGCAATGTAAAGCACATTGAGACAATGTAAAAATGCGCTATATAAGAATCCCATGTTATTATTATTATTATTAAGTGGGGACAGGCTATGGATGATCTGCAACTAAAACTAATAATGGCTGCAGAGGAGATGATATTATTTAGAAATTTAAAACAAATGTGACTGCATGTTTTGTTAGATTTGCTTTCACTGATGTTCTCACAATTTTAATGCAAAATAGGCATGTAGGCAAGAATAAGAAACTATGGTATGAATGTGTTACTGTATTTCATTTGTAGGGATGGTGTTGATTGGCTCTTTGTTAAGTCACACGAGAAGAGTGTGCCAATTCTTATTTTGTCTGGTGGCCTTGGAGGTAATGACAAGACCTGACCTACTGTACCATTGGCTGAATTTCTTAAGTACTGAGTGAAAGGGGAAGGGCTATAACCATTTTAAAAAGTTTACTGCAAATCCTCCACTCAACCCCAATAAAAAATGTACTTTCCTTACTGACACCTCACTAACAACTGACTGACACCTCACCAACCATCGACTGACACCTCACCAACCACCGGCTGACACCTCACCAACCACTGACTGACACCTGAGCAACCACTGTCTATCACCTCACCAACCACTGACTGAAACCTGACCAACCACTGACTGATGCCTGACAACCACTGACTGACACCTGACCAACCAACGACTGACACCTGACCAACCACCGACTGACACCTGACCAACCACCGACTGACGCCTGACCAACCACTGACTGACACCTGACCAACCACTGACTGATGCCTGACCAACCACTGACTGACACCTGACCAACCAMCGACTGACGCCTGACCAACCACCGACTGACACCTGACCAACCACTGACTGACACCTGACCAACCACTGCCTGACACCTCACCAACCACTGCCTGACGCCTGACCAACCACTG